GGAGAGCTGGTGCAGAAAGAAAAACCTTCACATCAATGTGAAGAAGAGGAAGGAGATTTTTGTGGACTTCAGATGGAACATCCGTAATGTGGGGGGGACACAACGATGCGTGTAGGTGTGTGCACGCGCGTGTGCACGCATGTGTGTGCGCAAAAGAAATGTACACTAATGTATGAAAAAAGCAACATTTCACCTAGATTTGCTTTAATTCCACACATTTAAAGCATATTTCTCACCAAGTTTGTGTAAATTCAGCTGTGGGTTTTAGAGACATTTTAACTTTAATACACTTTAACACAGAGCATCAGATCTGCACTATTTGTGTTTATAGAGAAATAAAAACCATGCCGACTAGACTTTTTACTTGTGTTCAACACTACTCATCTAAATGATGTTTCTCACGAAGCTTGAGGACAATAAGGTGTGGGGTTTTAAAGACATTTTAACTTTAATGCACCTCAACACACAGAGTCTCTTACACCTGCAGCGTCTTACAGCGTCACAGTTACTGCACCACCTGGTGGTGGATGGGTTAAATGCAGAGACTAATTTCGCCATTGTATGGAAACATACAGCGCTGACATTGTGATGACATTATTATTATTATTATTATTATTATTATTACTGCTGAGAGAACATGCTACAGACATAGCGCTGCACTCAAGCATCCTCCTAACATGAATATATGTTGATGATCAACCCCCTGGTCAACAACTGCCTGCAATAAGCTGCTAAACTGGCGAGTGAGCAACACAGAGGTGTCTCCATCTCCTGCACCTGCGCGCGTTTTCTACCGAAGCAGGAGACTCAGCAGCTGCTGCCTGCACAGTTTCTGCTCTGTGTGTAGAGGTGGAGGTAATCTGGAGGTAACCAGGAAAACCTGGAGTGGAGTTTTAGTAGATTGAGTATTCTCCTATTAATCAAGTGGAATGGATTCGTTCACGAAGAAAGAGAAACTGCGCCGCCTGAACTAATGTTTTATAGTAAAAGTGGGGGGGTCCAAATGAACATTTTTTTTAATGTGGGGGGGACTTGTCCCCTTCACATACTGTATAATGGTTGCGACGCCTATGCTCCTGCTACCCGAAAAGGAAGAAGCAGGTAAATATAATGGATAGATAGGTTAGTTGATCACGCACACATCTCCGCACCTCCTGTCATCTGTGGTGAAGGAAGTAGCAGCATAAAACCAAAACGAAAAAGAAAAATACATTTAAAAAATAAATTAATAAATAAAGCCGAAGCGAGCAGCACGTTCATTTAAAATAGCCTTGTTCTATATTTTTCCAAATGATTTTGCTTAAAAAACAAACAAAAACAAAAAAACGCTTAATTATGTATCGGATCAAGCTAATTTCTGTCCAAATCACAGAGATGCCTACTCGCACTGGATTAGTATTATCACAGGACCTCGGAGTTCAGCAAAATATAGTAGGTAATTTGTGGGGGAATTTTTACTTTACAAATTACTGATATGTCCGATTCGCACGGGATTAACTACACAGACAATCTCCGTAGTTATTACAAATAGCATGTGGTTCCTAGGCAAAACTAATCCTGTGCGATTACGGCTTTAGATGTTATTACTGTTTCTTTACAATTTATATTTTTGCTGTTGGATGTAACTGAGACCCTGTGTACACAATTTCATTCCACCTCATGTACTACATGTGATGTGAATGACAATAAAGAACCTTAATTTACATCCAACATACACACTCATACAGCACTCTACTATATCTCTACAAAAATAATCTGGATCTGTAGAGACTAATCAGAGGTTTAGATCACAGTCATACACCGATGGGACACACATCAAAGGCAATGAGGGTTTCAGTGTCTTTCCCAGGGACACTTCAACATGTGTGACTGCTGGTGGAATCGAACCCCCAACCCTCCAATTGGAGGATGACCACTCTAACCATGCAGCCATAGCTGCCCCTGTGCACAGAGAAACAACTAAAGCCCCCAGTATACTGCCACGTACATCCGATCACGCGTACGTACGTGTGTACTGTACGCAGAGGGTTCAGACTTTGTACTCCAGAGTACACCCCGAGCAACTGCAGAGCAGCTTCACAGACAAGGGGCGTTTACCTTTGGGACAAATTGAGGTCGCCGATTAGTCATTTGCTGACACGCCTATTGGATTGATTGACAGGTCGGAAAAAAGAAAAAAAAGTGAGCGCTGGCAGCCTCAGCCGCAGCGGTGTTCTGTGTTTATATGTTGTTAATAAAATGATCTAAAACATGAAAAAAAAAAAAACTAGAGAGCTGGCTCTACAGCCCACACATCAGACCAGCCCACCAGGAAATCTCCAGAACCTCCCGCAGCCATGCTGGACCTGAGTTTAATTCGCTCATGACAAATTCCTTCATTTCTCACCATTTCAGTCATGGCATCAACAGAGGAGGAAGAGATCACTGCCTCTTGGCAAAAAAAACAAAAGAAAAGGCCAGATCAGAGATGAAGAAGGGGAATTTAATACATTGGTGTCGTATACAAAACAGTCCGTCGCTGGGCAGTTTATTGTGAGACACCGCGTACGCGTATGCGGTAGCAATGTGCGATATAAACGGTATATGGTAGAAACGATAGAAATTTAGCCTACGATAGAGATCTATCTGTCTTCTACTGGCTAACCGCAGTAATGCTGTGTCTGATGTAAAATCAGAGTTGTCAATTTAATCGTTACTTTTTTTGTTGAAAACTGTGCAAAAGTGGTGTTCAAGTGTAAAATCAGAGTTGTCAGATTTAATCGTTACTTTTTTTTTGTTGAAAACTGTGCGCAAGTGGCATTAAAGTCTTTTCTTTGAGGGCTAAGTAGCGAAGCTACAAGCTAACTACAGCCGGCTTGCCGTAGTGTTGCCATATTTTGACGCATGCGCAAAACGCTGTGTTCCATTGAAAGTTTTTTGTTTTTGTTCCATCGAAAGGAAGCGTTGGTCAGCTTTAGAGAAAACTGCTCTCTGATCTGTGAAAAGAACGCTGTGTTGTGTGATTTTACTGCGAGACCCTCTGGTCAAAGCCACAGACTCATTTTGTGTCAGCTCTCCATTAAAGCGGAAGGAGTCGCCAACTCGAGGGTTGGAGGGTGAAGTGTTTCAGTGTAAAATGCTGCTCTGTTGCTGTTCATTTCTTAAGTGAGAAGACTTTAAACTGTTAAGAGTTAACAACATATTATTTTGTTTAAAACATAAGACTAAAACCACATTTTATATATTTTGCACTGTTTTGCACTACAAGAACGAAGCCTAATACTTGATTTGTTTATTATTTAAAAACTCTCTGGACCTAGTAGTGGAATTTTTTTAATTCTAAATATATGATAGCAAAAGGACACCCTATGCTTTTAAAAAATTCCTATTAAGTTTTATACCCAAAACATATCGCCATATCTATCGTTATCGCCACCCTTCACAATACATATCGTGATATGAATTTTATGCCATATTGCACATTCCTAGTATGCGGTCATAAAAATTTGAGCTTTGCACGGACATGCCCTGGGAGGTACGCTCGTACCTCCGCGTACGTACGTGCGTACCTCTGCGTATGGACGTACGCGGCAGTATACTGGGGGCTTTAGGACATGGTTTGATTAATTCAATGTAGAAGATTTTAAGTGACACACACAGGCCTAACCTAAACCCCAGCACGTTTGGGATGAAATAGAACTTCTAGTCCAACAGGATTGTTTGACCTCAGAAACACATAATAAATGGGCAGAATTTTACCCAGACATACCTCAGACTCCCACAACTTCCAACGGGGTTTCTATGGGAATTTTTGGATTTGGCATGAGGCCTCAGTGCTTAAAACCTCATGATGACAATGGAACATGGGAGCTTGGACGTGGCCATGGTCATGGACACCACTCCCACCACACTCTCAATCCAGAACTCCAATAAACAGCCAGCAGAGTAATATACCACCACCACCACTTCACTATGGAGGTTTTGTGCATACTCAGAACCCTCCATGGTAAGAAAACTTACTCTGAAGCAGAAACTAAACTAGAAAGTTCCTGGAGAAACTTTGACAGGGACTGCCAGGATGCTGTCGATTTAAAATTGTGATTGGACAGTACTATGTGTTTGGGTTCGCTCTCAGCTACCACTATACTAAATTTCAGCTGAAGATTGCAAAATTATGAGTTATAGGCATTTTTATTTTAAATTATGGTAGCCATCTTGGATGTTTGATTTGGATTCAGTTTGTGATGGGGATACAACCTCACCAAATTTCAGTTCTATGTGTGTAAAAATAGCTGAGTGAAATCCATTTAAACGTAGCTATGGTAGCCATATTGGATTTTTTATTTGAATTAGGAATGCATAAAATTCACTCTCAGCTCCGACCATACCAGATTTCAGCTCAATAGCTCAAAGATTGATTGTTATTGTTAATTTTGTGTTTTCTGAGGTAGCTGTGGCAGCCATCTTGAATCAAAACTGCTCCAAATGTCTATCAGTTCTAGAGTTACATCAAATGATTACTTTCTGTGAGTTTCAAAAAAAACAAAAAACAACCAGTTGTTCATGAGCTGTGACAGTTAGAAACTAAGAGTTTTGTCAGTGTTAATCAATGAGAAAAATGCTGTCTTTGTTTGCAAATTACATCACCATGGTAACTGGAAATACCAATAAAGGTAAGAGCACACATCACGGTGTCGAGCCGGTTGTTTTGATATAACATTTGTGGGGGTTAGTATTTTGTGGTTGGGGCCACATTAAAGTTGATAGAAGAGTAAGAGCCTTTTCAGGTGGATAATAATAAGAGGATGCCTTCAGGCATTCCCCAAAACGATTTGAGCATTCAGAAGAAAAGCAACAGCCAGTGCAAAAACAGAAATAGATGGGTCACACCTTTGAATGGTTTGCACAATCATAAATATTGTATATTGATATTTAGGAAGCTATAAACTATAAAACTAGTTCCTAAAGTTTATCTTAATTTGCAAATTTTTCCCACAAAAAGCCACACAAGTAGTACTTACAGAACTTGGACTTGAATGTCGGCGTAGCTTGGGTGACTCTTTGCTGGCTGATGAGCTCTTGGCAGTAATGCAGGCATTGTTCTCAGAATGGACCCTCTTCACCTGACTGGTGGGCTTCTCAAAGGGGTCAAAGCCGCTCTGTGTGCGCTGAACTTTCACCTTCTTGTCCTCAGGGATGGTGTCCAGGGGCTTGATGACAGAGTCGGTTCCCTGGCAGCCGCGTGTGGACATCTTTGTGACACATATCTGTCAAAACAGTGAAGAGAAGGAAAACAAAGCAAAGACAAAAGTGAACATTGAAAATGATTTGTTTAAACACTAATCACCATTGAACACCTGTAAGCTTGTCTAGTAAATTCTGCTTTCCATCCCTGTGCCGGTCTGTTTTTTCCTACCTCTAAGTTATCACAAGGATTGGAACCTTTTTATCTTCATCTCCATTTTTTTCTGATCAAAACAACCTGAGCGTGCTGTCAGTTCTGCAGCGCTGCATCTGATCCAAGCATTCACATGCCTCCATGTTATCTCGGACGCACATCAACACCGGTACAGTTCTGTTGTGTACATGTACATGCCAACGACTGATCCAACAAGCCCATCTGGAAAACTCAATGCCCACCCCTCAAATCTGTTTTCATCACAAAGCACCTTACCAGGGTCTCCTCCACCGCAGACTCAGCATATTGAACATGAAGGAACCAGGAAGTACGGCATGTTTTGCCACAGCTCGGTAAGAATTAAATATTTAAACTCCCCAGCAGGAAGAACTTCTAATTACTCTAACACATGAGGAGGAGTCACCTTGCAGCTCATTGACTCTTTGAGCCTTTTGTTTGGACACAATAAACTAATTTACACAACAAGTTGCTTCTGTCGACAAGTTTGTCAAATTGTTTTTTGATTAATTCATTCAACCTTTATTTCTACAGGTAAATCCCAATGAGCCTCGAGGACTCATTTACAAGAGAGACCTGATTGACCTGAAGAAGAACTACTGATGTGTTGATATAAATTAGTTTTTTTTCTTTAATGTGTCTCTTAGGGGGTCGTCACAGCAGCTGAATTAACATGACGATTTGGCAAGTTATTTTCTTTATTTGTTTTTACTTTGGCTGGGCATGTGACACAACCACCGACCACCATGCTACCGCAGCCCACGTGCAAAGCAGAGGAAACTTTTCATTATTTAATGTTTAGGTATATTTAAGTTTAAATCATCACTATAATTAGAAACCAGCCTGGCAGAATACTAATCACATTCAGCCCTTTACTCCAGATCACAAAAAAGTTCAATCATGTCATCGGGACAGTTTCTTTTTGGGAGAAACGTTTTGTCTTTCATCCAAAAGACTTCCACAGCATCAAAGAGATGTCATTTATGACAGATCTTGGTGGCAGGCCTCAGACTGATGAAGTGTTTCACAGTGATGTACGGTAAGCTTTGTGGCTGGTGAGGCACTGACTGTCTGGAATTGGATACTCACATATATGAACCCAAAATAGAAGCTTATATTTTAATTTAGCCTTCATTTTTCCCTCTCTCTAATAATACATTCTGTTTCGACTGAGAATCCAGTTTAGAAAAATCCTTTAGTTTTGAGATATGATCTTCCATTTTGTCTAAACAAATTGAAATGAGCGTACCGTTTGCTTCACCCCCGCCCCTCTGCGAAACAGAAGAATGCACAACGACTACTGCACCTGCTTCAGTGTAAATATGGGTTAGCACTGCCCCCTATCGGTGTGGCACGGTACTTTCTGCCTCACCCTGTGCATTTTATGTGCCCTCATTTACACATTCATACAGCACTCTACTACAGTTCTACAAAGAATAATCAGAGCTTTGTCACATTCATACACTGATGGGACACACATCAGAGGCAACGAGGGGTTCAGTGTCTTGCCCAGGGACACTTCAGCATGTGACTGCTGGCGGAATCGAATCCCCAACTCTCCCATTGGAGGACGACTGCTCTAACCACTCAGCCACAGCTGCCCTAGACCACCATCTACATAAACACACACATGCAGGCAAAACATGCTGATGTATTTTGTCTTTCAGCCGGGGAGGCATATTCAAGATAGTTTGTACAATAAATGGACTGTACTTGTATAACACCTTTCTATCTAATCAAGATACTTAAAGGGCTCTACAACACAAAATACATCAATAAACACTCAGAGAGTATAAAAAGAGCTGAATCTGGAAATCAGCACTATAAAGTTACTTTCACATTGTCCTCATGAGTCCCATGTAAATCCATTATTGCCACAGTGGCAACAGCTGTCATCTGAAACAGCACAGAAACAAACAAAAACAAAGACTCATTCAGAGCTGATCACACAACATATCATCAATACTTGATGAGTGATTGAGAACACGCTTCGTTCCAAGAATTCCCAGTCAGAGGATCACCAGAACAGAAACAATGCAGTGGTAACAAAAAAAAAAAAAAAAGCAAAACAACTACTTCCTGAAAACTGGGACAAAAAAACAAACAAACAAAACAAAAAACCAAAGTCTGATTAAATGATGACAAAAGGAGTCTAACTTGTGGGAAGAAACAGGTTTCAGATGTCCTGAATGATACTGACTCTTACCTCTACTTAAAAATTAACCAATGCTTAAGCTGAGTATATTTTGTTTCAAACAAACACACAGCAAAGTTAAGACAAAATGGAGCAGTAACACAAGTGGACAGCAGATGGGATTTGTAACAAATTATACATAAATATGTTTGTATAATTATCTTAATACTTTTATTTTACATGTTAAGGAACTAACTTCATACTCCAACACACTTATGGATCAGCTACTATAGAATCCAATAACATATTTCTGTATCAATAATAAGGGCATGTTTTACTTGGCAAGACATATTTTTTTACCAAACAAATTGAACAAAAAAGAGCAAATTTTTATGCTTGCTAAATCTTTTATTGTTATCCTGTCAGTCTACACATCAATTAAAGCCTGACCAATATGAGCTTTTCTATGACCAGTGCTGATACAGATTTTAAGAAATCATGACGTCTGAGGGGCAATACACACACAATATGTATTTATGTATATATATATATATATATATATATATATAGATATAGATAGATAGGTAGGGAGATAGGTAGGTTAATTGCCCAATATGAACAGATTAAAATTGATCAAAATATTTATTAGTCTTTAACTATTTATTACAAAGACAATATACCTTTTTAATGCCACATAAAAAATAAGAATGTGTGGCTGAGTGGTTAGAGCAGTCGTCCTCCAATGAACCAATGCAGAGTTGGGGGTTTGAATCCACCAGCAGTCACATGCTGAGTGTCTCAGGGCAATACACTGAACCCCTCATTGCCTCTGATGTGTGTCCCATCAGTGTATGAATGTGATAAAGCTCTGATTAGTCTCTTTAGAATGATTTGTTCAATTAGCTTTGTAGAGATCTAGTAGAGTGCTGTATGAATGGATAAATGAGGACACAGATTGTAGTGTAAAGAGCTTTGAGTATCTCAATAAGATAGAAAGGCGCTATTTAAGTACAGTCCATTTATAAATCAAAACCATCAAAACAAAATAGCAACCAAAAGGACAATCAAGATGAATAGTAGCAAAAAACAGCTAGCTTATAAGGCGGTGTAGAAAACTAAAAACAGGAACATGTCTGCATTGGTTTTTGCCAGGAACTTGAGATGTTTGAAGTCACTTAGAAAGGTCAAGGTCGACAGCTTGAGGTCTTTTTGTAAGATATTCCGGGAAACAGGAGCGAAGTAGGAGAAGGCCCTTTTGCCTAATTCAGTCCTCAATGAGGGGACACTGCAGGTAATAATGTCATGAGAGCGCACGCTGTAGCTGCACTCACACAGAGACATGTAGGAGGAGATGTATGAAGGCAGCAGACCAAGAAGTGATTTAAAGATGAAAATGTACCAGTGAGAGAGTCTGCGTGAAGTTAATGATGTCCAGTTAACCAGTGAATACAGGGTGCAGTGGTGGGTACGATAATCACAGCCAGTTATGAATCTTAATGCACTGTGATAGACAGCATCCAACATCTGCAGAGTGCTTCTAGGCACGTTCATATAGATAACTTCACCGTAGTCAATAGAGGGAAGAAATGTCGCAGTTACAAGGCGTTTCCTAGCATTCCGAGTTAGACAAGATCTACTTCTGAAAAAGAAATCCAATTTAACTTTTAGTTTCTTTACTAGGTTTTCCATGTGAAGCTTAAAGGAGAGATGCGAGTCGACCAAGATACCCAAATATTTATAGGAATCGACAAACTCAATATGGACACCATTTGAGGATAAAATCAGAGGAATAACTGCTGGGACTAACTTCCTGTTTGAAAAAAAGGATCCCTTTGGTTTTATCGGCATTTAGGACAAGTTTGAGATGGAACACATCTGACTGGATGATGTCAAAGGCGGATTGCAAAAGCTGGAAAGCCTTAGCAACTGTTTAAGTTCGACAATAAATGGTTTGACCTACATTACCTATATAGATTGTAAAGAGGGTGGGACCTAACCCAGAGCCTTGTGGTACACCATTACTGACTGTTAGATAACTGGAAGAAATATCATTTTGTTGAACACATTGCCTTCGATCTGATAGATAGTTAAGAGAACCAACCAATGGTATGATCTTAGAAACCTATTTCTGAAAATAAATTATCCTAGGAACTATGCTGTTTGGGCCATTATAATTGCCCCCTGGTAGGGTCTCCCAAGGCAAATTGGTCCTAGGTGACAGGCCAAGGGCGATTCAGAAGACACAAATGGACAGAAAAGTGCAAGGAGCTCATTGTCCCTTACCTGGACATGGGTTACTGAGGCCCCATCATCGAGCCAAGCCTGGGGGAGGAGCTCGTTGGTTAGCACCTGGTGACCATGTCTTTACCCATGGACCTGGTAAGGCTCAGCCCGAATGAGCAACATGGGTTTGCCTTCCTGTGGGCCCACCACCTGTATGAGGGTCCTTGTGAATCAGATGCATGACACCATAGGCAATGGCCAAAGGTGGGGACCTTGGTGCTCTGATCCTGGCTTTGCAAAGCTGGCTCTTGGGACATGGAGCATAATCCCTCTGATAAGAAAGGAGCCTGAGTTTTTACCGACTAGATATATTTGGGCTTACCTCGATGCACAGCATGGACTCCAGTACCAACCATCTTGAGAGCAGCTGGACCTTATTCCACTGGAGATGCCCATGGTGAGAGGCACCAAGCTGGTTTGGGTGTACTCTTAGC